AGGAGCGCGGCCCGGCGGCCGGGCCCGCGCCGCCATGGCCCCGGCGGGCGCTCCGCTTCCCAGCCTCGCTCCCGGGGACGCGCTCCGCCTGCCGACCGGAGATGCTCCCGTTCGGACGGGAAAACAAAACACAACCGCCTCCCGCGGCCGTAGCTTTGGTCCGCGGGCTGCGTGCGCGTTGGGCGCCGCGGGGTTCCCGAGCGCTGCGCTCAGCGCCCCGGTCCCGGCGCTCGCCCCGGCCCTGGCGCTCGCCGCGGCTCGGCCGGAGCCTTCCCCGTGGGCAGCGGGGCCGCCGGGAGCGGGGCCGCGTCCCAAGGGACACGAGAGGATACGCGGGGCCGTGTCTGAGCTGGGAATCCTGTTTGTACCGTAGGGGGGGGGTCCCCATTCCCCACCCCTGGGGTGCGAGTTATCCGCGCTCTGGGTAGCGGGAGATACTCCCGAGAGCAGCTAAAGGAATCCTCTAAGTCGTTCAGTTCGCAAAGCGTSTAACAGATACGTGGAAAACAAGCAAGTATGCCTAAAACCGGGCGGCTTCGTAAATTTCCTAACGTTACTGGGGGGCTCTTGGTGACTTTTGGCATCAAAAGTAGATACTGTTTTCACGGGTATCCGCTCAAAATGCCTCTAGATGTTCTCCTTGTCCTGTGTGTTTCAGGAGCCCGTAGGAATGCGGGAGGTTGTTTTTCCTAGAAGTTGCTGTGAGGTTGACTCAGCCCCTTCCAAGAGCTCTGTGGTAATGCCAGGCCTTTCCCTGCTCTTAACTAGCCTCCTGGGATGGCGTAAAACAAAACAAACCAACTTCCGATAAGCCCTTTGCATCTGAGAAATATGGGAATATGGGAAGAGCGGATCTTGTCATAAGTAGTCAAAGCTCCTTAGGAAGGGTTTTGTCACCTGGTTTTCTTAAGGTGACTGCTTAGTGTCCCAAAATATTTTAAGTTGCTTAATTGCTCCCCCCCCCCCCAACTTCCTCTAGGCAAAGAAAGTGAGGCTGTCCTTGTGATCACTTTTATAGTACTATTTGCAAAAAAAAAAAAAAAAAAGGGAAGGAAAGTCTAATTTATGACAGTTGTCCTAGTTTAAAGCTTTCCCTAATAAAGCTCTAGGGAATGTGCAAAGATGGTCGAGGCTATTTATCAGAAACTGCAAAATCATTATGTTCGTGTGGTTCACCAAAATGGTTTGAAGGGCAGGAACTGCTTTCCTTGGGCATATTCATGCTTAAATAGCAAATCTGTAGGCTTTTTTTTTTTTTTTTCTTAAAAAAAAAAAAGCTAATATACTATTTCTGATGTTTGGGGCAGAAAAACACTATGGCACAGTTCATATGAAATATATTATGCTTTTCATCCATCTTCCAGCTTTTTGGAGGGACTTTCATTTTTTAACTTGAGTTCTGCTCAGTACTGAAAGCATTGATGCTTGCCATCCTTCCCATCCCACTGTTCTCCAACCAAATTAATTGTAGATCAGTGAAAAACTCGGTTCTTAGCTGCAGGAGACTTCCAACACTGACTTCTCAAAGGCCAACAAACCATCTCACTTATAACGTTGCTAGATAGCTATCTGCTTTAGACGTTTTCTGTAGCCAATTATGTTCTGTTACTTGGTTATCTTTATATATATGCATCTAAAAAGCAAATGCAGTACAAAGCAGTAATTCTCATCTCATTTTGTTCATCTTTTCCGTGAAAGGTGATGGAAAGGTAACAGCAGGGCTTGCTGTGTGAGGCCGGTCGCCATCGGCCTCTGCGCTGCTGGAGGTGACGGAGCCAGAGGCGGACATGGGCTCGCTGCCTGGGCACTCCTTGCCAGGTCTCTCACGGACCTGCTACACTGCCTGTCCATGAAGGGACCGACYGAGCTGGGATCCTGTGAGCCTCCCGCCGGGGCTGTTGTTTCTGAGCTGCAGTTTGCAAGGAAAGGGCAGAGTGCGAGCTCAGCACCTGCAGCTTGTGCAGCTCTTGGTGCCTGTGTCACCGTGTGCGCCCCGGCTCTCCTAGACCTCCTAGATCCACCCARCGCTGGCCTCCTGCCTTGGTGCTTGGCCTTTCTCCCCTGTGTGYGTCACTAAGGAAAAACTAGTGGTCACAGGAACGAGGTTAAAACCCCACACACCCTAATTAAGGTTCAGAAAAGAGATAAGGAGGGAAGACAGAAAATCACATAGAAAGAGCAGAGTCATTGAAGAGAGAAGGTTCTATTCCAGAAGATGATATTTAGCTGTCTTAATACCTGTAGTGAATGAAAAATTGTAGTAATTGCTGGTAACTCGAAAGAAAAAAAATGACAAAGGAAGATGGTGAAATATATATTATGGTTGTTAGTGTTAGCTGATTGCTACTGACTTTACCTTCATGCAAGGTATGGTATTGGAGCTGTTGCTTGACAGCAATTTGGACTTCAAAATTTGCCTGGAGACTCTCTGGTGTGTGGTTAGCAATCAGCCACATAGGAGACTGCCCAATGATACTGTTGGCAACAGTGGGTATTTCCAGTTGTAGATATTTCCGTAAGAACAGCACTTTCAGCTTAATGCTATGTCCCTTCTAGGAGCAAAAAAAGAGTTTCAGGAAGTTCCTCCTGTTCCAGGTGATGTTATCATGGGTGGGACACTTTCTAACAATATTGCTGAAGCAAGTGTTTCAAAAAACATCTATTGTCTGGTTCACACTGAAGTACCACATCTGAGTGTGTGTGCTTTAGAGAGGAAGAACTGGGGGAAATGCAAGCTCTCAACCTCCGTTGGCAACTTAAGGACAAGCTACTTCTGAGCTGTACTTAGCACTGTTACAGCCACCGTTTTGCAGTGTCTCCAGTCCTTTCCTGACTGGGAACAGAATTTTGCTTCTCCTGCATGGGGTTACTAGGCCCTGTTAGGATCTACCTGACTTTTRTGTTACTTCTTAAACACATGTGTCAAAGTCTCAACAGTTTGACAATAAAAAGGGTAACCTAAAGCATGAAGACTTTGTAATTGGAGGCTCCCCTAGCAGAATACAGACAACTTCAGAAATAAGTAGAAAAGAGAAAGGTCATTATAAAAGCTATACTTTTTTTTTTCTTTAAGTATGCCCTTAAGCTGATAATGTGCCCTATTGCTTGTATGAATGTTCTCCAAAACATGCAAGTAGGCCAGAATTACTCTCCTAGTATGTAATTTGAAAAGGTTACCATTGTTTTGCATGACAAATTCAATTAACATCTTAAACTTTACACTTCCACATCTCATACTGTACTTCAAACTAGTCTCCAATTAGTAGTCTTTAGATGTTGAATGATTTGAGAGCAATACAAAAGGTGCAAGGCAATTCTTTGTGCTCTGAACCTTGGACCATCTCCAGTTTGAAGTGTATTTCATGGTTGCTTCCAAGAAGGGCAATTGTAAGAGATCTGCAGCTGTAGCATGGGCATGTAGGCATTTGCTAAAAGTCATTCCRTGCAGGAAGAACATTTTTGGAATCTACTCTGGAATCTACTGGCCTATCTTAGTAATACTCCCAACTGAAAAAAAGGAATGTGAATTATAGATGTATAGGCTTGAATCAGCATCGATCTCAAACTCATGGCAAAATTCAGTGTGGCAAAATGAGGTCTGTGGAGTGCTGCATGCCCATGGAAGTTATCAAGCGTAAGTGGTGTTGTATTCRATGGAACTTGGAGAAACTTGACCAAGACCTTTTATTTTTAATATTTATAGATGGTCATTTTATGGGCCTCTTTTGTGTAAACCAGAGCTGTAGAAATACAGGGGAGTTGGATTATGTCCTTTCCTACTGGTTTGTGTTGGTAGTAAACCATCTGGACTTGGTTAAGCATCACTACTGGACTTTCCTCTTCGCTGAGAATAGTTGTTGAACAATAACAAGGTGTAAGATTGAGCCTGGGACTTGACAGGTTACTTCTGAATAAATGGCAGTACAGTTTTATGAGGATATGCAAATCTTAAGTAAAACAGAAATGAAATAACCCACATTTAATTCCTATCCAAATAAATGGGTGGTGTTAAGATACATTAGATAACTGCCTCCTCCAGTGAAGGACCTGCAATTTACTCCATCCTGGCTGCTGGAGTCCAGTGCTGAGACCTGGAACGTGCAACAACATCCCTGTGTCCTGGGTCTRTCACTTATTAGCGTGGGCTCTCAACCTGCCCAGCATCCATGCCTGCAACCTAGGTGTTCTTGTCCATGGTTGGCTTGAGCTGTGAGTCTTTCCAGGTGAAGGTTCTTCTCCTACTTGCTGGCTTGTCCAAATTTGGTAGCAAATTACACACGTATGTTTATGCATATCGGGTTAAATTAACAAGGGAAGAACAAAAAACACACTACTGTCACTTCATCCATGGTCCTTGAACCTCTCACGTGTACCCTCTGGTTCTTCTAGATACTGACATACACCTATGGGTCCTTCAAGATGCTAGCATACACCTGTGAACCCAGTTGCCCGTGGTCCCTTCTCCCTACTCCTGGCATCTCACTTGTAGCAGTTGTACATGGGCTAAAAAATGTAATTATGGAGAAAACCGCATAATTTAATTTTAGGAGCAGGTTTAATAGGAAGATAAGATAAGCTGGGGTGATTTTGTGTAGGTGGGTGCTTTCTTAGATTTCATCCACTCACACCCCTGTGTGGCACACCTTGATATGTGTGAGAAAGCAGAAGAAGGGTTAAAATGATACATTTGTGGTGCGCCCATACTGGATATGTTTATCGTTTGACACCCCACTCCATATTGATGTGTTGTTCATCACTAG